GCCCTTGAGTTAAGCTCAATTGCTTGGTTTTGGTTCTATTTAATTCCATATTAACGGTTTATAATTTTTTTTTTCGATACTTCTTATTGCCACATTGATTTTGTGGAAGAAGGTGGATAAGGGTGGTGATTGTAATTGAATATGAATTTTTTAAAGCTAGGTTCAATTTTAATTTGTAAACTCAGTTTGAAAATGATGTTTTGGTTTTATATTTAGCAAAACCTTTGCAGTATATTGCTTCCCTGTTTTGATTTTGTTTGATTTTTGTCCTAATTATCGTGAACTAGGTGTTCTCCATGTAAATTTGGTATTTTATTTTGTCCTTAGTTGTTGTAAATTTTAAATTGACTGTGGTTTTTGTGAATTTTTCATTATCACTATTATCACATTTTAATTTTTATGGCGAAGATGTAGTATTTTAATTTTGTCCTAAAATTTAGTGTTTAATTTAAGTTCTATTAAGACTTCTGATACGAGGTCTAAATTAAAGAGGTTGAAACTGAATTTTATGTCTAAGATTTGCATCGCGTGAGTTTTCTCCTTTACTTCCCCACAATTTCAATTTTTTCTATGCATTTTATTTTTTTACAACACATTGTGATATGAAATTTACCAGATGAACCATGAAGAGCAACATGCTTTCAAAGAAAAACGTATGAGATGTGTTGTTAAGGTGAGCCTTGCTGTGGCGTGATGGATTTTGCTATGAAATTGCTAAAATACTTTGTCTTTCTTAGCAGGTTGATGATGTGCTTGATAGCATTTGTTTTGCGTTAAAGAATTGGTTATAGTCCTATTGCATATTTGAAATTCTATAATTCACATAGTAGTTCTTCTTTTTATATTGGCCAAACCTTTATGTGTTTGAGCTTAACTTGAAAAAAGTGTGATGCCACGAAATAATGCATTGGCCAATATGATAATTCTGTATTGATGCCATGAGAACATAAATATGTATCGTCATAATCTTGCTTTATATTGTCATCGATATCGTTGTTGTTTTAGTCTTCCTATTAATTTTGATTTTTCAGATTGAAGGTTTTGGTGTAGTGGTCACTACTTGCGGCATATGTAGATATAAGCAAAGTGTTCTTTGTTAGGGAGGTGCTGCTCCCTTCAATCATCTAATTTGTGGTGCTCCTTCCGAGGTTTTTTCTCACCCCAAAACATGGCTTTACCTCTTTTTTTGTTTACTTGTAACGGTGATTGATTTTCGGTTTGTCTTATTTGTTATTTTTTTTTTTGGTGAAAGATATTTGGTCCTATACGAAGCCATGCACCTCTAAAATAAGTAATAATTCATATAATTTTTTCAAGTTTAAATTACTTTTCATTGCTTAGCACAAAATTGTAGCTCAGTGATAATAATCCTGAGCATGTGAGATTACTAGTGCTCTTGGACGTGAGATTATTAATGATGGGATGCATTCCTTGGGTGGAAGAGTTTTTACGATATTGTTGAGTAACCCACTGCACCAAACCAATTTCACTATTACTGGTAGTATGTAGTTATAAACAATTCCACATTACCTAATTTATACCATTTTTTTATTGGTTTTGCGATAAATTCAGTTGGACTCGATAGTGTAATAATTTCAATTCATTCCTTGGACATATACCATATTAGGGTCAAGATTTTAAAGTCATTTTAATCTTGGAAGTGTTGTTTTTCAATCTTTTTAGTAGAGCATTTGCTTCTTTTGATTGTATTTTTTCCTTGATGCATAAATAGTGGGTAAGGATTATGAGCTAGAATTGGTTTAACCAAGTTTTGTTAACCTTGAGACTGATTGTTTTGNAGAGCATTTGCTTCTTTGATTGTATTTTTTCCTTGATGCATAAATAGTGGATAAGGATTATGAGCTAGAATTGGTTTAACCAAGTTTTGTTAACCCTGAGACTAATTGTTTTAAATAGGTTTTGATTCATTTCAACTTAGCTTTGGTTAAATCTAAATGGGGGTTACGTGGTTCAGTTCAAATAGCTTTTGATTGGTTTAGTCAGATAATGAGAATGTCATTATTATTTAATCATTGGTATTCGGTACAATTGTTTTGGATTCAATTGAAAGTGTTCAAGTATGCTTGGACCATTCAAAGTCTAACATTTTCTCAATTTCTTAGTCAGATTTTGGTTTTTGTACTAAGAGTTGTATTGGTTACTATTTGACATTCAGATAATTTATTTTTGTTTTTTGACGAGATGTTCGAAGGTTGTTAGTCATTTATATATTTGTTAATTGCCTTCAACTATTTCTAGACTTGTAGCTTCTCGTGTTGTTTTCGCAGATTGTGCAACATATCTAGTTTAATTTTTTTAGTCAATGGTTCTTCACAATCTATGCGTTTTTGGTTTTGTTCACATCAGAAATATAATACAAGGTTAAGTTCAACTTTCTTAGAAACATGGATATTTTATTGTTTCCTAATTCAGTTTATGATTTTTCACCTATAATGATCTTGGGTATTGTCAAATTGTTAAAGTTGTGTCGAGTTTGTGTTGCTTATATGTTGTTTTGTTTCGGTCCTTTAAAGCTAAATGCATAATTGATAATTTTGATTTGACTTCAATGTATCATGTTGGGAATTTGTTATTTTTTCATCTTTTATAAACAATTTTGGAATGATTATGACGGTAATATCACATGACAATGTAATATGGTATTACCAACTAATAATACTTAAACAAATAAACAAATAAACCCCATAAAAATCAATAACTAATATGTCATGTAAGTAAATAACTCTCTACTCTTCTATCATGGAAGTTCAAGTAGGGTTTACGTGTTACATTCGAAAATTTATTATTAGTTGATGATATCATATCATTAACGATGATATAGTATCACCGTTACATTCAGTATTTATAATCTAATAATACAAAATTCCCTTCCCCCTCTCTCTTCTCTTCCCTGTTTTACACACATAAAATAGTGAACGGTGAACCCACTCAAATCAGGCCTCACTCATCATCCCCCTATCCTTTCGGCCTCCGGCGATCTCCAACGAGCACGCACATGTTACTCTCTCTCTCTCTCTTATTCTTTTCATCTCTCTTATCCACTCTTTTTTCCACACACATCAGACGCACACACACAAACCNAGTATGCTTGGACCATTCAAAGTCTAACATTTTCTCAATTTCTTAGTCAGATTTTGGCACATGTTACTCTCAATTTCTTATTCGGCACATGTTACTCTCAATTTCTTATTCGGCACATGTTTCTCTCTCTCTCTCTCTCTCTCTCTCTCTCTCTCTCTCTCTCTCTCTCTCTCTCTTATTCTTTTCATCTCTCGTATCCACTCTTTTTTCCACACACATCAGACGCACACACACAAACACACAAAGCGAACACAGGCACACGCACACCCACACCCTCAAACCAACACCCATACTCACAGGACGGGCTCACCAACCAACACATATAGCACTTGCAGCTAGTTTGTTGAATGTGTCCCAATTAATAACCTTATGCATTTCCCCCAATTAATTTTCCCAAAATTAAAATTGATTCATTCCCCCTAATTAATTTGCATCAAAATTTCATCTCTCTCATTTATTTTTAGATTAGGGATTTACCCAATTTTTTGGGAACAATTAACTTTGACTAAATTACTATGATATTAAAAACCCTATAATTTTTGAATTTTTTTTGGAAAACCCTATAATTTTTAAATTTGTTTTGAAAACCTTGGAACTTTTTAGTTTTTATGTTGTGATTAGTTAAAGTTTGTTAATGAAATCAAAAATCGAATCTTTGATTGTGGGTTTGTTTTGCTTATTGAATTTTTACTTTCGAATGATTGGTTTTAGGGTAGAGTTAGGTGTTTGCTTGGAAAATAGTGAAATTTTAGGTTGCAAAAATTCCCAACTTATTTGCATCTTATGCTATGAATTGGTTTTCAAATTGATTAATGTAGGTCTACTTGATTATTCAATCCCTTGCAATGGATTGGTTTAAAGTTGATTGATGTGAGTGTATTTAGATCAATTCAAGGGTTGGAACGATTGTATTTTAACTTTCCTTTTATAATGGTTTATTCCCTTTTGACGTTCTTACTAATGCTTCAGCCATCCCTTAATGAGAAGTGTTGCAAGTTGCAAGGCATGTTGCACTTTATACGGTAATTTAAAATTGAATAATTTGTCCCCTTAAGTTAACTGATGAATTAGACAGAAAGTTTAAAATTATTTTTGTACCCTTAGCCTTTATTTTTCTCCATTTTCTTTCTTTTCTCTTTGACCAATTGAGCCAAAAGCTCCAACCCCATCAACCACAAACCATCATAGCCACCACCCAAACACCCAGCTATTATCATCCAGCAACCAAATACCAACCAAATCGACACATCATAAGCACTGTAAATACTCCACATCAACCACCACCAAAACTCTGACTCCATATATTCAACACCCAACACTGAATAGAGCTCCACTTTTGCCAAACATGTTCATATGTAACAAGTTCATTTTTCTACTGTTGTTTTGTGGTTGTTCTCATGTGGTAGACCATGTAGGGCAAACAAGTGGCAGTCATTGGTGCCTTCACGGCTTTCCTATCTCATGTTTGACATAGTTTTTGACAGAAGACATGTTAGGGGACAAGGACAATGAGATTTCAACCCCAAACCTAAATTTACAATTTTTTTATTTTTTTTAAAATTGTCCCGAGTGTTCAGGGCAGGTCAGGTGTAACTCGACTAATTTTTTCTTTGGTCTGATCAAAGACATGAATAAATATTCAATGTAACGGTGATACCATGTGTTGATCGGTAAAAAAATTATTATTAATAATGAATGTCGGTGATGAATGCGTGATTTATTTTCCATAAGGTATTTATACAAATCCCCATCATTTGAAGAGTCTCCAAACTAATTTCTTAGTATAGTAGGCTACAGCATGAGAGGTGTCCCTCCTATAATATTGCATCCTAGTGGTATCTGGTAATTCATGGAAAGACTTGATAGAGGAAAGCATATGGTCCATGGCAGTTTTTGGCATGCCATGGTTGGTTATTTGGAAGAACCCAATGGTTGAGGAGGCGGGACGAATCTGGTCAACCACAATTGAGCGGGTGCTAGAGAGGTCGATGATGGGTAGTGATAATTTGGCGTTTCGGGTTAAGGATTTTGGGTTGGGCGAGTTTTGGGGTGGATGGTGGAAAATGCGAGGGATGGTGGTGAGGTCAGAATCAACGAGGCCTTTCACTCCAGTTTGGATTCATCTAACTTCTTCGCTTCTTCAAGTCTGTTGTAGTCTTGGGCTGGGTTGGTACTGGTAATGGTCGCCATTGTTATGGTCATTCTCTCTGCGACTCAGACGATGGATGGGGTAAACGAAATGTGTGGGGGTTGCGTGGGACGCAAAGGGACAAGATGCGTTTTGTATTTATTGTGGGAGAATCGTTGACTATTGACATTACAATCACTTAATTTCATACAAAAGATTAAAAATTACACTTTGACTGCTCATTTATGTCATTTTTCATATGGCCTCTTTTATTATTATGTTTCTCACATAGCACCTCAAAGTAGATTATTGATTTCACATTGACCCCCAACTATTTACTTTTTTACTTAATTTCACACAAGGTCTTTTTATTATTATGTCTCTCACATAGCACCTGAAAATGGATTAGTGATTTCACATTGGTATTGATCCAATATAAAACATATTCAAATAATTGAGAGGGCAACATGAGGAAGTCAATAATCAATTCGATTCGAAACTCAAGCCAAGGTTCTTGTTCATTTCATACCCATCCAGTTGGAGAAGAAAGACAAATCTAAAATTTGTGTATCTTCGTTCTACGTTTAGTTCAGGTATTGAGAAGTAGTTGACCCACACTTATGTCATACAACATTTGTGGGTTTATTTAACAAAATGTGTGTGGGTATAAAATCCATTTATTCATTCGGCCATGAATTATTTGTAGATGATAATATCGGGCTCAAAATATATATTCAAAAATGAGTATATATATATATATATTCAATCTATATGTAATATTTCGACCAGTATTAACAAAACTTAGTGAAGAAAGGGCACTAAAGATATCAAAGCTAGTGTTAAGTATCAACGGTACTAAACTATTTTGGTGGTCACTTAACACTAGGTATTGATACGTAATAGGGCTTAATCTTAATAAATTTCGTTAAAATTGACACCATATAATAAGTGGTATAAAATTTATCATAATTCGTAATAGAATAAAAAATGACTAGAGTGCCCACTAAATTTCAAAAAAACATTATTTCTTAAACTCGGTTTTACACTATCTTGATCGATATTAGGACAAAAAATTAATAATGTATTCCAATTATAATCTAAACCATAGTTATCAGAATCGGACCGGACATCGAACCTACAGAGGGATCGGTTCACTGATTCAACTGTTGGGTCAACATGACGGATTGATTGTATAATAAAAAAATAAATAAGATAATAATTTACCTAAAAAAAATATGAAATACCCACTCTAATTTATTCATTCTATTTTCCACCAAACATGCGTAAATTATAAAATTTGCCCTTAAAGTACAATCATTGTGTCAAGTATCACTATTTCAAGCCTGTCAAGTGAGTTAGTGAAGGGGTATTAAGGGCAATCCATTATTTCTCAACGAGCACACACTTACATTTTGACCTCATTCCCCCAAATTGATAGTCACACAAAGAGCTCATAACTCTGTAAACTATGTACTACTTACTAACTCTGTGTGTATATTACGTGGGTGTTTCTGCGTGGAGAGAGAGAGGAAGAAAAAAGCTTACACAACTTAGGAGGAGATATGTGGTGTTTGAGATCTAGATCTGTGATGTGTTATTATTCGAGAGCTAGATCTTGAAGGAGACGGAGAAGGCGAAGGAACTACTGGTTGGTTTTAAGTATTGAATCAGTCGGTTTTAGGAATCATTGGTTCACTGGTTTTGGCCAAAATTGGCCGATTTTTCAATTTTCTAACTGTTCAATTATAAAGGCGGTCTTTTTAGTGAAATGGACCGTTGAATGTCCTAGTTCACCAGTTTGACCGCCCGGTTCAGTCGGGTTCTAAAAACAGTAATCCAAACACAATATAGATAGAACAGAATTAAATGATAAACCAGTCATTTTGTCGATGGTGATTGGATTTGTATCAGTTATCCAATTTCAGCTTATATTGTATTGATACTATCACTACCTTAGTTATCAAATATTAGGTATGAAACATGTATTGTCTTTGCTCTTCACCGTACAATATTGTTCTTTTTATGTTGGGTATGTTTGAAACTAAAACTTTTCTTAAATTGAAGGTCCAAATCTCCCTTAGTCATTATAACATCTCATATTTATGTTGTTCATTATTGTACATTTTGTACTAGGCACCCGCGACTTTAAAACGCATTCTAGATTCAAATATTAGATTTATTAAGCATTTCACTTTGTCATGCACTTTGAAATTGGGTCACTAAAAGTTCACATTGGGCTCCAACCAACAGATTGTATTAGAGCATGTATTCAAAAAGACAATTAATACACTTGGTAAGCATAAAAGGTAACTTTCAAAATGAGCTGGCTGCGAATATTGGGTCTAACCGTCCAATAAGAAAGTGAAAAAAGTGTAAAATAGGGCTTACTTCTTGCCATAGAGATGATTATGTATAACATAATTAGGTGATTATGAGTTTTAATGGGTCTAATTGTTAGTGTTTAATTATTAATGGATCGTTATGCCACGTGACACTATTAACATAGCGTAACATTACCTCTCACTATCCCACACCAAAGCTAGTCAATTAGTTCACAGTGGAACCCACGGGATTATCCATGAAATTATACAATGTAATGATATAATTGGTTTTACCACATATAAAGATATAGAAAAATTGAAATAGTACGTCGGTAAGGGATGGAAATACACCACCTGCCAGAAATTTAATACAAAATTAATATAAAATTAGTTGATTTTGGTCTAATTATAATAGCTTCAAGCGATAAAAAGAGGAATCTATTAAATTAATGGGTTGTAATGTAACCAATTAAAACATGAGACGTATCCAACTAAACTAAAGTTATGTACAATTCTAGACTCATTCTGTATAGACTGGACAGTTGCTGACTATTGAGTTGAACAATCGTGAGCACAAGCGTAAGAGAGAAAGATACAGGTTTCCTACTCATACAAGGCGGTTCACATGTCATTTCTCATTCTACTCATAAACAAACCATTTGAACACCATGTTAAAGTGGTTTTGGTGTGATAAGCCTGGTCTTTCATTAATAATTGTTGGTGGTGGTCTTTGGTTTTCCACAGGGAGCACCACAGGACCTGTGTTTCCTTTTTTCACTAATTGATTCCTAATTGCAGTATTTTATTTATGATTAATTGGTCCTGACATTGGTGTCTAAACATTCATCAACTCATGCATAACATTAACTAACTGTTGCCTAATGCCTGAATTGGGATTGTGCGGTACTTGTTTCAAATTCTACACAAACTCTTGCATCTACAAACTATCTTGGCCATTGGATTGGTCATTCCCAAGATTTGCAGACTCCATTGGATTGGTATTCGAACTTGCTTCATGATTGCCACTTGTTGGCATTATTTCCATAGTTTTGTTAGTTCGAAACACAATCTCATCTTTTCTCCTTGTTCTCACCATTTTACTTGATCCAAGTTAGAAATGTTGGCCCATCGAGTATGCCAAAAGTTTGTTGCTCCAAAAAATTTGTTGTTATTGACAGAGGGGACTCAATCGACGGACAATTTTCAGGGGATTGTTAGTAATAGGTTCAATTGCCTTGTTTTAAAAATTCCTTGAATGAAACTTAGAGCAATAAACACACAGAAATCGTGAACTAATAAAAGAGAATCCCTTTATTAATTCAATCGAAAGTTTTTTAGTTACATAAAGACTGAATTAATGGCCTTGATTATCGCATTAACTATTTCCTAAAACTAACTTAACACTACTCCTTAAAATGCCTTGATTGTGGGTCTTGTGGGGGTTTTGAATGTATCTTTCAACTTTTTCATTCTCTTATTTTTATAGTCATTCCCGATCAACAGTTATCTGACTTGTAACTCCCAGACAGTTATTCCTCTTTGAAATAAAGCTATGTCTGACCATCTCCCACCTTTTCTCAAATTCTGCCATGTGCCCTATTTTTTAATATCCCACAATTCGCTAGGTGTTGGTGAATCGAACATTCTTATAATTTTATATTTTATGTCCAAATATTACGATAAAATTACAATTTTGAAATAAAAAGTTATAACTGTTCAAGAGAGCTCATAATTAATTACAAACACACATGATTAATTATGAAAAATGTCGGATCGATCCTAACATTCTATGTTCGATCATGCTCTTTGAAGTTATAAATTACACTTCAAAAAAGTTGTAATTTATTCTTAAAAAGTTATAATTTTCGGTATTGATACTATCGATGGTACCATAGAAGTTCCCATCCCCGAGTCCACACAACTTTTGCGTATTACTTCAATGCGTGCACCAACAAACTTATGGCAAGTTAACATTTGGGTTAAACCAACTAATTTTCAAAGGAGTAGGCCTTTGACTCCAATTTTTGATTCATTGAATTGCTTGAACTTCTTGGAGTCTGTCATAATGTTGGTCTGCATTGGTGTTGATATCAGTTGCCATTTTTGCTCTGTCTTACACGCACACACAGAGATTGGGCTGTATGTGGGAATGGATGGGAAGAAGAGGGACAGGGGAGAGCTTTATAACGGAGAATCATTGACAAATGAGATTTAACTCCCTAATTTTCATTTGATATAGAGTCACTTTCCATATAACCCTTGACCATTGAGTTATACAGTCACGATTTCAATCTACAATTATTGAAAAATTATTGATAATCTATATAATAAATTAGTTAGAAATTTCCTCCCAAAAATAACCATCTCATCACAACTCATCTCTGTCAGATAGACAGCATGGCCTTTCCCAACTCCATCCCACGTTTTTTTTTACCTTCCCTCTTTTATCCCCACTCCCCAACTACTCTCTCTCCCACTCCCTAATTTTCATTGTAGCATGGCCACCACCATCGCTACAATCATCGCTACAGCCACACCACGATCCGCCACAGCCCCAAGTATTTCTCCCTTTAGTTTTTTTCTCTCTCTGTCACATCTTTCATGTAACCCCCCCCCTCTCATCCCCCTCTACGCAACACGCTACCCCCAAACTCATTTTCTTTGCTTGCTGAACCCACCCCCCAAGACCCAAAACACGCATGCACACTCTCTGCGCAACACCATACATACACAATCAACACAATACACACACGCCCTCTTCCATCTCTACCCAACCCACTAAACAAAACCCATACACACACAAAACACACAACCCCCTTCTTCTCTGTGCAACCCACCCCCTAAAAATTACCCATCACACACACACACTTGCGCACACACAA